GCCTTCCAAAATGCCAGCTCCTCGCTTCCCTCTCCACCACGTTTCCTCACCTACCAAATATCGCCCGGCGAGACTTCAAAGTCACGACACACAAAAGCTGCAGTAGAAGACTGGCTACTGGCTCAAGGATGCGTGCGCGACACCGTCATAATAGCCCTCGGCGGTGGTGTCATTGGCGACATGATCGGCTACGTTGCAGCGACATACATGCGCGGCATCAAGTTTGTCAATGTCCCTACAACGCTTTTGTCCATGGTGGACTCGAGCATAGGCGGCAAGACTGCCATTGATGTGCCTGCAGGAAAAAACTTGATTGGCGCTTTTTGGCAGCCAGAGAGGATCTACATTGACCTGCGCTTTCTCGAGTCGCTGCCCAAGCGCGAGGTCATCAACGGCATGGCCGAGGTCATCAAGACGGCCGCCATATGGAACGAAGAGGAATTCACTACCCTTGAAGGGAATGCAAATGACATCTTAGCTGCCATTGATCAGAAGCCTGTAAACGGACGCAGAAACTTTGACGAGATAGCAAGCATCCTCAAGCGCATAGTGCTAGGCTCAATCCGAGTAAAGGCCGAGGTTGTTTCTGCAGATGAGCGAGAAGGCGGTTTGCGCAACCTGCTGAACTTTGGCCACTCCATCGGCCATGCTTATGAAGCCATTCTCACCCCTCAGATTCTCCATGGCGAGTGCGTTGCGATAGGAATGGTCAAGGAAGCCGAGTTGGCACGTTATCTTGGCGTCCTGGATCCTTCTGCAGTCGCACGCTTGACCAAATGCATTGCAAGCTACGGACTGCCTACATCGCTGGCTGACAAGACTGTACGAAAACGGTCGGCGAACAAGCCATGCCCAGTTGATGAACTTATCAAGATCATGGCTGTAGACAAGAAGAATGCTGGCAAAACTAAGAAAATTGTACTTCTGTCAGGCATTGGTAGGACACATGAGAAAAAGGCTAGCTCTGTCGAGGACCGCGACATTAGGATCGCACTCTCACCAAGCATATCGGTGCACCCTGGAGTCCCGTCCGACCTGAACGTGACATGTACACCTCCTGGATCAAAGAGCATCTCCAACCGTGTCCTTGTACTTGCTGCGCTCGGAACTGGCTCGTGCCGCATTACCAACCTGCTACACTCAGATGACACTCAGGTCATGTTGGATGCGCTTGCAAAAATGCAGGGCGCAACTTTTGCATGGGAAAACGATGGCAAGGAGCTGGTGGTGACCGGAAATGGCGGTAACCTCAAAGCATCGAGCAATGAACTCTACCTGGGAAACGCTGGTACAGCAGCACGTTTCTTGACCTCAGTGACTGCCCTTTGCCAACCTACAGATGGCGTCACCTCGACTATCGTCACTGGTAATGCTCGTATGAAGGAGCGACCCATTGGCCCTCTTGTAAAATCGCTCCGCACTATGGGTGTTGAAATTGACTACCAGGAGAATGAAGGCAGCCTCCCGCTCCGAATCTCAGCCTGTGGCGGTTTCGGTTCTGATTCCTTCACAGGTGAAATTGAGCTTACTGCAAATGTGTCTTCACAATACGTCTCATCAATCCTGTTGAGTGCCCCATACTCTAAGAAGCCCGTTACACTCCGCTTGGTTGGCGGCAAGGTCATCTCACAGCCCTACATCGACATGACCATTGCGATGATGGCTTCTTTCGGAGTGCAGGTTGAACGATCCGAGAGCGACCCCAACACCTACCACATTCCCAACAAGCCATACACCAACCCATCAGAATATGAGGTTGAAAGCGATGCTAGCTCAGCTACTTACCCACTCGCCATCGCAGCCATCACCGGCACCACGTGCACAGTTCCCAATATCGGTTCTGGCTCCTTACAAGGCGACGCTCGATTCGCCGTCGAGGTTCTGAAGCCCATGGGCTGCACGGTTGAACAGTCCAAGACATCGACAACTGTCACCGGCCCACCACGCGGCCAACTCAAGGCCGTCAAGGAAATCGACATGGAGCCAATGACGGATGCATTCCTTACAGCATCTGTTCTAGCTGCGGTAGCATCTTCAAACGGCTCTAACGTCACGACTCGCATCTATGGTATCGCGAACCAGCGTGTCAAGGAGTGCAATCGTATCCAAGCCATGGAAGACGAGCTGGCAAAATTCGGCGTGACTTGCAGACAGTTTGACGATGGTATTGAGGTTGATGGAAAGGCCTACCAGCTTGATGCCCCCAAGGTCGGTATTCACTGCTACGATGATCATCGTGTTGCCATGAGCTTCGCCGTTCTCTCGTTAGTTGCTCCCGAGCCTGTGCTTATCCTCGAAAAAGAATGCACAGGGAAGACATGGCCAGGGTACTGGGATAGCCTGAACCAGGTCTTCAAAGCCAAGCTCGAGGGTGTAGAGCTGGCGCCAAAGACTAGCACACGCAAAACTGCGTCAAAGGTCTACCAGCGATCCATCTTCGTCATCGGCATGCGAGGCGCTGGCAAGACAACCATGGGTAGCTGGGCGGCACGCGCTCTTGGATGGCCTTTAATTGATTTGGACACCGCTCTTGAGGAACATGTCGGCATGACGATTCCCGAACTCATCAAAGAGCAAGGCTGGGAAGGCTTCCGAAGCGAAGAGCTCAAACTCTTGGAGAGGGTTGGTAAGGAGAAGCCTAACGGACATGTCTTCGCTTGTGGTGGAGGGATAGTCGAGACACCAGCGGCTCGCAAGCTACTCATAGATTACCACAAGAGCGGCGGTATCGTCCTTCTGATTTCACGAGACATCAACAAGGTCATCTCTTTTCTTCAGATCGACAAGACAAGGCCAGCATATGTTGACGACATCATGGGCGTCTGGCTTCGACGTAAGGGATGGTACGAAGAATGCAGCAACTACCGTTTCCATAGCCAGGCTGCTGGGCTGAACGATGTCCCTCAAGCACAGGCAGAGATGGCACGTTTCCTCAACATAATCACAGGCAGGGTATCAGTGTTGGAGGGGTTCAAGAAAAGAAAGCACTCCTTCTTTGTCTGCCTGTCTGCGCCGCGACTCGAGCCTTGGATCAAAACGCTACCTGCAATAGTAGTCGGTTCGGATGCTGTCGAGCTGAGGATTGATTTGCTCGAGGATCCGGAAGGTCAACCAGGTCTACCAACACCAGACTTTGTCATTGAGCAACTCACCATTCTACGGACAGTCACTTCGATTCCAGTCATCTTTACATTGAGAACACAGGCACAGGGTGGTAAATTCCCGGACCAAGCATATGACGAAGCTCTGACACTTTATCGAACCGCATTGCGACTGGGATGCGAGTTTGTTGACCTGGAGTTGACTATGCCCGAACATGTGCTACAGGAGATATCTGAGAATCGCGGTTTCTCCGAGATCATCGCAAGTCATCATGACCCGAAGGGCGAGTTGAACTGGAGAAACGGCTCTTGGATATCACAGTACAACCGTGCCCTCCAGTACGGTACTGTCATCAAGCTGGTCGGCGTCGCCAAGTCGCTGGAAGACAATTTTGCGCTCGCCGAGTTCAAGAGCTGGGCACAAACAGCCCATCCTACGCCTTTGATTGCCATCAACATGGGAGAAAAGGGCAAGATGAGTAGGATACTGAACGGTTTCATGACGCCCGTCTCACACCCTCTACTTCCCTCTGCAACTGCACCAGGACAGCTATCAGCGGTAGACATCCGTCGTGGCCTTTCGCTCATGGGTGAGATTCCGACAAAGCAATTTTACATTTTCGGTTCTCCCATTGCGCAAAGTCCCAGCCCACGTCTGCACAACACTCTCTTCCGTGAGACTGGACTGCCTCACATCTACAGTCGCCACGAGACCACAGATGTAAACTCGTTCCGTGACATCATCCGCACACCGGATTTTGGCGGTGCTAGTGTCACGATTCCTCTGAAGCAGGACGTCATACCTCTGCTTGACGGAGTCGGCCCAGAGGTAGAAGTAATCGGCGCCGTCAACACCATCGTTCCCGAAGTCTCCATCGACGAAACCACTGGCAAGCAGGTAACCAAGCTCATTGGCCGCAACACAGACTATCTAGGCATGGTCCTCATCCTGCGTAACGCCGGCGCCCAAGGAAACGGCTCTGCCCTCGTCATTGGCGGTGGCGGCACAAGTCGCGCAGCCATCTACGCTCTGAAGGAAATGGGGTACAGTCCCATCTACCTTCTCGGTCGCAACCCCTCCAAGATGGAAGTCCTCAAGAACGCCTTTTCCGAAGAATACAATGTCCATGTCTTGAACTCGCCAGATGATGTCGCCGCCCTTGACGCCGCACCGCAGGCCGCCATTGGCACTATTCCCGCCGACCAACCCATCGACATTGCCATCCGCGAGACCCTGTGCTCGCTGTTTGAAAAGGGTAAGGCGTCGGTTAGGGATATCGACGTGGGGGGTGAGAGGATTCTGCTTGAGATGGCGTATAAACCATCTGTTACCGCGCTTATCCAGCTTGCTATGGATAATGGGTGGAAGACAGTGAATGGGCTTGAGGTCTTGGTTGGCCAGGGTGTGAATCAGTTTGAGTACTGGACCGGTGTTAGGCCGTTGTATGAGGTTGCGAGAGTAAGTTCTGTGCTTGTTTGAATGTGATGAGTAAGGGCTGACACAAGGCAGGATGCTGTTGTCAACCAGACAGATTGAGTGTGTTTAACGAGGTTTTCGCCTTGCGACAAGGAGCAGGATTAACGATCTACTGATGATATTGTATTCTGACATGCTCAACGATAAAAAGTACCATGACACTAACAAATAAAAACGTTTACATGCTACTCTTTTGAACAAAGTATCTACTCGTGATCTTGTCTCTAAATACAGTACACCAAACCAAGGGAGAAAAAAAAAAGATGTTTATACATGTGAAATAAAAAACATAACCACCTTTCTCCCAACATGAATCTCTTCAAACTCCCAACACAACCATATTTATACAAGTGAAAAAAATAATAATAACCAACCACCTCCCTTCCAGTTTTACTCCTTCCCCCAAAAAACACACATACATTTCAAACCCTCCTACCCTTCCTCGCCTCCAACAAATCCCTAACCCGATTCCCGCCCGCGGTAACGACCACGCCTCTGGCGGCATCCTCTGCAATCTTCTCATCAATCGCCTTGTCGAGGCTATGCAGGATAGTCTTGCTGGGGGTGCGGAGGGCATTGCGATCGATATCTTGCGGGGCGAGATACGTGGATGTAGGATCCGCAGCGGGTGGGGGAACGGGGATGAAGAGGGCGGCGGGACGGCGGTGGCGGCGGCGGGGGGG